AAAAAAAACTGATTTACAAAAAAGAAGAAAAAAAAAAAGAAGAAGGTTTTTTGGCGCCTGGAGCCCCCTAAATCTATCCCTACTACTAACTTAACAATATAACAAAAAACAAATCTATTAGAATTCTACTTCTAATGAATTTCGGAAAATGTAAGATTATTCATTTCTAAACATTCAAAGGTTTGATCAATGTGATTTGCATTACTATGAGGGCAAAAACTACTACCAATACGTAAATCCAAATGTTGAAATAGAATTATGTAAATTTCAAATTAAATAGAATAGTCACTTTACCAAATAACTACTCAAGGGCCCAACACTAATCAATTTCATAAAAAGCTATAAATTACTAACAAACTAGTAGAAACAAACTACTGGAGTGAAACATCAAAAATTACACTAATAGAGGGAGAAAAAATATTCATTCGGCTTCCTAGCAAAGAGCAATTGTGAAATTTCAGCCATTTTATATTCATATCAACTAAATAAATCCATATATACTATACCCAATAAATTAAAACAATGAAATCCCAAATATACTCAAAAGAAAATACAGCGAGTAAGAAAATTTACCTCTTATAATATATTTCCTCATGAAAACTGTATAACGCCAAGGAAATAAAAAAGAAGAAGAAGAAGTTGTATATGAGAGGAAATGATTTCGATTTGGGCCTAACTTTTTAGACTAAAAAAAGATCTATATTAACTATCAGCCCAAACCAAACAAAAGAGTCACTAAGTTCTGTCTTCTTCTTCCTCATAGAGTTAGTTCTTTCCCTCTTCAGCTCTTCTGCCCCTACCAATGCTACGCCAGGCGGCTATGAACATTCCGGCTGACCCCTGACTCGTCGTCGATCCGATCGGAGGCGAGAGGCGAGCTGGAGAGGAAAATGCTTTCTTCTTTCGCAGTTTACTTTCTTCATTTAATTGGAAAAAAAAAAAAAATTGGACATGGAAACGAGGCCCCCTTTAGCTTTTGGCCTGAGGCGTAGGCCTCATCGGTCTCGCCTCAGGACCGACTCTGATCGTGAATTACATGTGGGTAAAATGCAAAATCCTGCCCATACTATTGATTTGATTCAATAAAGGGCCTTAATGACATGAAAAGTATTTATTAGGGGTTTATTCTACCAACTTCAAAATTCATCTCAACGGTTGGATCCCAAATGGATATGTGCCGCTTACCGATGCAATTGCCGGCGATTAATCTACGGTACGAGCATACGTCACCGTTTCGTCCTCTTCTAGTGAGATGCAATATGTCCCAAAATGCAGAATCAATGGAATCTGCAAATGGTCAAATGTTCGTTTTGGGAATGGGATTCGTAGGGCAATTCTTTGCTGCTGATTTAAAGAGCAAAGGATGGTCAGAATTCTCTTTACGCTTAAGACGTAGTGATTTATTATCTAAACTTTCGAGTTTGTAGTCGACAGAATATTCGAATTCAGCATTTTAAGTTGTTTACTGTGAAGGGTAGTAAGTGGGAGCTGCACAAGCGTTGAGAAGAAAACTAAACTCGAAGAAATGGGTTTTCCTGCCTACGTCTTTGATGCGAACGAACCTCAGTGAGTTTTTTCTTTTCTGTATTTTATGAAAATGCGATGAAATTTTCTTCTCTCTTTTTTGATCATTTTAGAATTTCTATATACTTCTTGCTAAGCAAATACGTGGATTGTTCTAGGCTAGAAATTGTCAATAATACAATTCAAACTTGCAATTAATTGAACGCGATTTAGTTCTTTCGATGTTACGGATGATTTTTGGGCAATGGGTATACATCAGTTATTTGAACTGAAAACTTAACTGTATTGCTGGAATCACAAATGTTTGTGCTCTATATATTTTCCAGACCTGAGATCCTAGATATCATGAAAAATCACACGCACCTCCTCGTCTCTATCCCTCCTGTCAAGGGTCTTGGTGATCCGGTAATTTTAATTATCTTTGAGAAGCTCTGCTAACAACCATCTGTATTTTTTTTTTTAAATATCTTTCTTTTTCTAACCCTTCTGCTAATTGGTATGTACATATTACAGATGCTTCGTCATAAAGAACTTGTGAAAAGAAGATTGAAGGATGGGAAAATTCAGTGGCTAACTTACTTATCATCAACTAGTAAGTCTGTCTTCGAATTGCTTGTAGTTGCATAGAATGCGGCAATGTAAGACATTTGTTATAATACTTGAATACAACTCACTTTCGTGTAGTATTTCTGGTAGAAAATAGACGTCGAACATTTCTTACTTGAGCATAACTTTCAGAGCGGAAAAAAACATCAGTTTCTTTTGTTGTGCATTTGAAAGAATCAGACATATTGGCTGTATTTTTATTTTTTTTCAATACTCCTCACTTGCTTTCAATTTTTGTTGTTACATTTGTTAATTTTTATTTTTGGACGTATAGGTGTCTATGGAGATTGTGGTGGTGCTTGGGTAGATGAAGAGTAAGTATTCGTTGACATTTATTCAGTTAATGCCTGTGAAGTATGCATCGTGATGAATTATGCTTGATCATTTGGCAGTTATCCTATAAGACCTACAAGTGAACCAGCCAGATCAAGGTTAGCTGCTGAGGAAGAATGGTTATGTTTGGGCTGTGATCTTGGGATTGCTGCTCAAATATTTCGACTTGGAGGAATATATGGGCCTGGTAGAAGGTTGGTTTGAGTTTTAAAATATTGCTTTATAATCTGTATTAGTAGATTTATTGGTAGGATTCAGTTTAAAGATAATTTGAACTTTGATGAGCAATTACAAGGAACAAACTTTGTTTAGAATTGACTTTCTAGATCTATACATGCTTGACAGTGCTATTGATACCATTATTAAAGAAGGGCCTCTCTCGAAGGGTCAGAAAATGAGATTACGTAAACAGTACACCTCTCGCGTTCATGTTGCTGATATTTGCCAAGCACTCAATGCAAGTATTCTGAAGCGATCCCCACGGTAGGTTAAAGATATTCTGTTGGATTTCATTAAGAGAGATTATATGGAAAAGATAAAAACAAATATGTAACCCACATTTGAAAAATCTGGCAACATCCTAAAAAAAATGCTGAACAAACAGGGAAAAAAAAGACTGATGTGGCAATCCATGATTGAGTATTTTTATTTTTTTTCCCAATTTCCAATAAGAATATGCCAAGTGTGTCTGGAAATGAAATTTTGTCACAAAAACTGGCAATGTAGCATGGTTGAAAAATACTTCTTTTTTATCCTTTTAACGTTGAGTATACAAAAGCAAATTAGTAGTCCCAGTAATCGATCAACTGAAGCTTCAGAAGCTAGCTGAGATGCAAGAACAAATACATAAGGGAAATGCCACTTGACCCGCATGGATGACACTCCCGATGACCACGCCCTCACATGGGATGCGTGGGTCCCGTGCAAATAAAATAATCCTAACCCCCATGTGTGCGTGCGGGGTTATCCCCGTGGTCATCCATGTGGGTCATGTAGCACAGTTGAATACATAAATCCAAACACATAGGGCATAAACATTTTGAGGTATGCAGACCAGGCCTATGGATGATTGGAGTAACAATATCATGCTTATGCGTTTCTATTGCGATATATATTTATATTTCCATGTGACTTCCTTATATAGCCACATGTATAATAATGGGATGATTAATTTTCTTGTCTTTGTTTTTCACTCCAGGCAAGTATACAACATTGTTGATGATGATCCTGCTCCAAGAATGGAAGTATTTATGTGGGCTCAAAATTTGGTCGAGCAAAAATTTCCGTGCCACGTGAAACAACCTACCATATCTCCTGAAAGAGAAGAATCACTTATCCTGGACAAAGTTTCCAGGGGATATAAACGAGTCTCCAATGCACGCATGAAGAAAGAACTGGGAGTGAAGCTGTTTCATTCTAATTATAGGTCTGGACTGCAAAGTATCATTGACCATATGGACAATCCATATCTACAAAATTCACCAGGTTCATGAAATTAATACTATCCTATGTTCTGTAATAATTACTAAAGAATAAAGATGACAAAATTGGAGGAATTTATATTCGTCATAGAGATAGACATGAAACCCAAGTGTGCATTTTGTGGGGGACTAGACACTCGTCCCCACCTTCCACTATGTGCTTGCGGCAAACGGTCGACGCATTTGAACATATCTTTTCTGGCATAAATTTTGTCTTTTGACTTGAAAGAAGATCAGAGGATAACTACATCTTTTGTGCCAATCGGCTGCTGGAAGGTGTCGAGTCATTAACTCAATTTTTCTTGCCCTGTTAGAATTTCTGCAAAATTTGATACTCTTTGATGTTTTATATCCTAAAACAATTTCTTAGGTGGCACTGCTAAGACATTTTCTTATTCATGTTGTTATATAAATGTGCTATAGAAACAAAGACACGAAATTCTTTTGGGAATTTCACAAAATACAATCACAATTGTTTCGAGAATTAAGAAAAAGGAAGAAACTGTATGAATCCAACAAAAAAAAAAATTGTATTTCTTCGAAGAATAATATATTGTACAATACAAACTTCCATTTAGATTCGAATTCTCTAATTTATGCACCAATTGGCTCAGATTAAGGAAATTAATTTTGATTTTTTACCCCTCAAAAAAAAAAAAAGGACAGATGAAGCCTTTGCTGCAGAGTTCATTGTCCAGCCATGGCCTTTCTCTTTTATTTCTTCTCACTTGGATTGCCGGGTTCGTATTCTCTCTTCAAAAATATTGTTCCATTTTACCTAGTATCTTACATGCATGTATATTTTGAATATTTCCATTTAAGTTCTGTATTGATTTTTTACTTTATTTTCTTTCCTTCCAAGAATTTCAACTGTATTTTCCTGTTGCAGAGATACATTCAATTTAGTGGGTTGCGTTCTTGAACCTGCTACCGTATGTACCATTTCATTGGCCTGATGCTTTACTGATACAAACTTTTCTTTCTTTTTTCTTCATTAGCATTAAATTAATAAAAATAAAATAAAGTTCTAAGCATTCTATTTTTATATGGTTTCTCTTTTCTCTCTCTTTCTCTCATTTTCTTTGTATGTTTGGGGGTGGTGGTTCATGGATGCAGCTGCCAACCCCATACTACACTGCTTTGGTAAGATTACTCCATCCTCAACTCTGTAACTAGAAATTGGAAATAATCATTCGACTTATTCATGAATTTTAGCAGTAAATACTATCTTAATTTGAACTATTTTATTTTTCTTCTGATCTTTTCTTTTTTCTGTCTTCCATCCATCATCAGCTTTACACAACAAGTACAGTGATACTAGTGTTGCAGTGTTTATATTATGACTACTTCTATAAATGTTGGAGAAACAAAGAAAAAGAACCAATCCAAGAGGTATGTATTACTAAATTTTATTGCAACACGCATTTTGTAGACCAAGCAGTCCTGTATATTTATAAAATAAGTAAATTACAATTTATTGTCTCAGGTTGAAGAAGTGAAAAAACCTCTGAAACCTCCAAAGCCAGATGCTACTACTATCCCAATTCCTAGTGGCACCGCTGAAGTAACACCAGAGAAAGATGTCTATTACTACGCGTATGTGAATAAAGTTGTACAAATTTGTTTCCATTATTAAGCCGGCATTTAGATTCATTTGATCCTTCTGAAGAAACGAACTTCTTTGCAGGTCAGCAAGATCGTTGGCAGGCAGCACACCTCCACATTTTCGGTCTTATCTTGGGCCAGGTAGAAGTGGTACTTCTTCCGTGGGGATCAAAAATGACTTGTCTTCAGATGATGAGGGAAATCAAAGTCCATCCAAGAAATATGTTAGCCAATCTAAGCCAATCCCGCGATCTGTGAGCGTTTAGTGTGGCTAATTTTATTCAAAAATTTGTGGAATTAAAATCACTTCATGTTGGATCTTTCTTGCAACTTGTTGGTTTCGATAAGATCTGCACTTTTATAGTGGCTTGACTTACATTTGAATTCATAATGTACATCTTTAGAACAGCTGCTAACGGTTCATGAATCAAAATGTCAAGCTCGTAATTCTGACTGAATTATGAGAATCTTTAAGCTCTTTATCTGAAAACACAATCTTTATTTGGATAAAAAAAATAAATTCTGTCACTATTTACTATGAATTATTTAAATACCCTGTGAGCAATATGGCCTAATCACTACTGGTACAATGTGTTCTCAGGTAGGCTACAGTGCATTTTTAGCTACATCCTGTTGGATATTGGTTAAATAAATCGAGAAATTAAAGTGACTTCGTATCGACTTCGGCCAAATACTCAAAAGCTCGACTCAATCCGTTTAGGCAAAATTGTTTGCCACTTCGCCGTTTCGGGGCGCACAAATGGGGATCGACCTGCCCGATCAGGTCGCGGGGGGTCGAGGGGGCAGCGGCCCCGAAAGAGAATTTTGATTTCTCTGCATGTATTGAAGGGTATATTTGGCATTTCGAAAACCAATATCGGATGAATGAGAAATTACGAAAAAGGACGAAAATCAGGTCGTAAAACCGTGCGACCGATAAATAGACACCTTTTCATAAAGGTGATTGTTTGGAAAGGGTGCATGGTTTGGCATCAACCATTTCGTCCACACCCTTTCATGGTCTATAAATAGGACCCTTTGGGTATCATATTCCACACAATTTGATATGCAAAATATCTCTCATCCTCTCTTCTATCCAAAATCAAAATCATTTCATTTATTTTGATTTTCCTTCATTTCATCCTTGGAGTACATAAGCCTAAATATGGTTCGTTGTACTTGTGTTTTGGAGTGCTACAAACACAAGTGTAGCCGTTGTATCTTGGGAGTCGATTGCCGAAATTCGTAGGCACCGTTGCGGGGCAAATTCGACTTAAGGACAAAGAGTCCAACTCTTGTCTCGACTTTGTCCCTACTTTCTTCTTCTTCTTGCTTGTGGTTTCTTTGCCGTTACTCTGTCCAATTTTTGGCACGGATTTACAAACCATAATTATACTTGTTTTGGCGTCACTATTCACAAAATTCCTCCAACACATCCATCAACTTGCCGCGAGGAACTCGGGCTTTGATGCAAGTATATGTGGGATTGACCTGGAGAAAATTATTACAAGTATGGATTTAAACAAAAAATGAATGATCCAACTGAACTCTTTCATTTCATCTGGATTATGGTTAGGACTTTTGTTCTGTGACAGGAACACGGGACAGAAAACGTGTATGGCCAGTGCTTGGGATGGATAATGGCTGCCATATACATGAGTGGTCGACTACCTCAAATATGGTTAAATGTGAGTAACTTTGTTTAAGAACTACATCGACATAAATTTGTTCCCTTTTATTTAATTTCTTCTCTAATGGATGATTTTGCTTCACTGACTAGATTAAAAGAGGGAGTGTTCAGGTAATTCTATTTTATCTTTTGCTTTGGGAATTTGCGTCAGAAATTTGCGGATTAATGCACAATTAAAATCTCCTTTTTCAATTATATAGGGATTGAATCCTCTGATGTTTATCTTTGCACTTCTTGCCAATGCTACCTATGTGGCTAGGTATATAATCTTTCTCTATCTCTTAGCACCCCTTTGGTAAGATGGATTGAATATTAGGAAGAAAAGAAACTTAAGATCTTATCCGTTATAATTTGATTTCTACATGCCAAACATAACCTAAGATTTGTCAACGTGATGCAGCATTCTTGTAAGATCAATTGCTTGGGAAAAAATTGAAGCCAACATGCCCTGGTTGCTGGATGCTTTTGGCTGTGTGTTGCTCGATTTATTCGTATCCTTTTCCATAGTACTTTGACATTTAGTATAAGATAGAACAACAATATCCTTTCTCGAAGTCTAAATAATCGAAGAAAAACAAAGTAGGAACTAGACCTTAACAATGTAATAATAGATCATATTGCAGTAAGTGTACTACAGATATTTTTGCAGGAAAACTTGCAGCAATGAAGAAGAAGACTATGGTGACTACATTGAAACAAACAAGGGATAAATACATGTTTTGTTTCTCAAAACGAAGTCTTCATACTCTCTGATTGCAAAATTCCTCGAGGATCGAATTTTTTTTCCTTTTTCTCCAATTTTCATTGCAATGTTTGAGAGTGTTACAAACTTCTTACTCATTAATAATATTATTGGCAATGGAGAATTCTTGGAGCTTCAAAAAATACATGTTATGATGCATTTCCCATAAGCCCATAACATGAGTTGGACTTGCACCAAAATTGATTTTTTAGGATGGGGAATGGATCAAGATTTGAATTCAACGGCCCATATATGGATCCGGTAAAAGTGAGCCCAAAATGTCTTCTTGGATAATGCCCGTGTATACTTTTTGGGCTACACCTTCACTTGATCCAAGTATATGGGCCTTCGAAATCAAATCGTTGTATTGGGCCCAGTTTAAAATAGTAGCCAACAAATGCAGTAAGTGCTTATTTATTAATTAGGTGAGCGAACAATAAATTGTATGCTAATTTCTTTTAAGTTAAAAGTGATTCCTATAAATAATATGACAATATGCACGTGATGTCTTGTGTCTCAATCAAGACCATTAATGGTCTAATAGTTATGATGTGGGCTCCTATACTTAAATGAATGCTTTTGATATTTTGTAGATTAAACCCTTTCATTAGAATTAAAATTACTTACATTCATTTCATTTTTAATTTACTCTCCGTTTATTTACGAGTTACTCACCAACATTATGACATTCCTTCCTCCAGAACTTCTATTCTGTCAAAAATTGATATATCCCAGTTTATTGAATGAACGACTCATATGTTGAAACAATCCTAGTTAACGTATTAAAGCACATTCATACCTTAGAATTATGAAAACCACAAAGTATGGCGTAGTCCAAAGGGAGATTTGCTCTATAGAGGGTCACATTATTTTGTAAAGAAACATGAGGTTTGCGTTACAGCCTGAAATCGTCAATAATTGTGGCCATGTGCTAATGGGCCATGGCTTAGGGGTTTGGTTACTAATCACTTTATTATGTCGCCGACACGAGAAGGTGCAATGTTTACAAATTTGAAATTTGATAGTATAGTATCAAACATTTTTGTTCTCTTCTTAATACTGTACTATTCAAATAGTACAATCTGCTTTAACGAGTAAATTATTAAAGTCAAATATTAATTATTCATGACTTTATTAGGTACGTACATTCCTATCATAAATCCATTGTGCCCACATCTCTTTAACATTATTGATACGAACATCAAAAAAATTAATTCGACTATCACTTACTTTGTCATCCAATAGTTTGTAGTAAAGTCCAAGAAACACGGATTCTTCTGAAGACAAATTTCTCATTTGTGTTTTTTTTTTTTGCCATATTTTTCAAAAATCTTATAGAAAATATTCTAAATTATTTTATTTGTATTTTTTTAAAAAAAAAAGATACTTTACTTTAATTTTTCAAAGATCAAAAAAGAATTAAACAACATCAAAAGTTGACAAGAAAATTTAAAACAGGGATGCTATTAAGAAGGTAATAAAGTCAAAACCTTCATTAGTATCAACAAACATAAAAGAAAATGAAAATCACGCCAAGAAAAGGGGTAAAAAGAGAGATTGCAAAGCAATGTAAGATTGATGGCTCTGTTTAACAGACGAATCGCCGTAATTGAATGCGCATTTCCCTCTTTCACATTTTGTTAAATATTCCTTTTGTTTCATAATGTAACACAATAGTCAATAATGGTGATTCTTTAACATTGGATTTCAACTTAACTATATTTGAGGTACATAAGTAGATATCTATAGCTACGAAATTGATTTCCTAAACACTCAGCTTATGTTAAGCAACTAGTGACGTGACACACTGTAACATCACTCGATGCTTAGCATAAACTAAACATCGATGCTTAGACTGTTTATAGCTAAATATAATATACAGAACTTTTAACTCACATGACGATCATCTCTGATGTCACCCGGATACTTGAAAATGCATGACTTCTCTCCCATGAACTTCATGTTTTTTACATTCTCCGTGGAAGAAAAGTCATATTGTGTATAGATTTTTACACAATAGAGTAGGATCTCCAGCCTCAGATCTCTCATCTCTCTTGTGCTTTCTAATTACAAAAATCTGAGGAAAAAACATCAAATAAATTAATTAGAGTTTAAAATAATTACCTAATTAGGAATTTTTTTCAATAGATTTTAAGTTCATACCTCAAGAATCAATAATATATGGCGTTTGTAACAGATCATAAGGTGCCCACAAAGCATCCAAAGGGCAAGGTCGGTTAGCATCGAGTCGAACCCACGGTTTACCCTTTCCACTCCAATGCAAGAGGCTTACCGGCCCCGGATGCAAATCCCGGCACAGTCCCCTGAAATTATCACCGCCGAGGCCATGTTGATTCCACCGGTGATCCACCGGAGCTATCTTTCCTGCGAAAACAAGCAAGAAAGGTGGCAAAGAACCAAGTTCATAAATCCTCATTCTCTTCTGAAGCTCCATCCATTCCACAATTTTTGTTGTATAATCTCCAGCTCTCCATCTCTCAAGATCAACGACCATAACTCCAGTGTTGAAGTAACAAGGTTTTCGATTCGCGAAGGTTAAGGAAAGAGAAGGATTGGACCAGAATGTCGGCGTGAAATAGGAGGTGAAATTTGCGTTGCAGTATTCCGGTGCTGCTAAAACTGCTTCATTGCCTAGAGGAGTTGCAGCGAGTTTAGCTATATCATCGACGAGTACGAGGTCGGAATCTAGGTAAACGACCTTCTGAACGCATTTCGGGAGCAGATCAGCGAGATAGTTACGCGCATAGTTGAGTGGACAATCTAGTGCAGCGCGAATCGAAGTAGATATCAATCCCGCCACCGGCGAATCATCGAAAGGATAGATATTGAACTGAAGGTAGGGAAATGAGTTTGCAATTGTGAGGTTGAGATGTAAGGAGTCGGCGGCGGCCGATGCCACAAAGTGGAAGATCATATTTTCCGGGCAAGACGAGTGTTGAAGGACTGAAAGAATGGCAGCCATGGATCCCCGGATGTAAGATGCGTCTAGGGTCATTGCTACATGTACTGCATTGTCCGAGCAAATCTTGGCGGCGGGAGTGGGGTTATAGTGAACATAGGGACACTTAGGAGAGTTGTAGAACTTTGGCGCCTCCCTGAAATGGAAGTTTCCGGCATTGGCTTCTCTAATTGATAAGATTAAGACAATTGAAAAGAGACATTTTAAAAATCCCACTACTCCAGTCATAATTCTGATTGGAAGCTCAAATTTTTTACCTCCCTACTCTCTGCACCGAGTGATCTCTATTATATACTTCTGCACTAAATTATTGATCAGGTTAAAAAGAGCGGCTAGGATTGATCAAAATGTTCCATAAAATGTCATAATCTAGCGGCTGAGGAGCTACCAGCACGTATTTTGTCGTGGGGCCCTTTTCGTTTTGTTTTTTAAAATCTCTAAGGTTTAAATTATATACTGCCTATCAAATCTAGCTAAGTTTGTCAGTAAATGACTCACTTTTTCCTACTTTAGTCGAGGAACGTGCTATTTGTATACTTTTTATTATTATTATTTTTTTTTTTACAAATTGTTTGACAATTACTACAATAGAATACATTTTGACCTTTGATTTGAATTTTATTTATTTAAATGAAGACCAAATGCATGTCATCTCATATTGGTCAACAAATATGTAAAAATGTTTATGTACAAAGAGCTTAATTGATAGTCGAGATATCCAAATTGTCAATTGATAGACCAACTTGTTACCTTATATTTAAAGTTTTTATCTTTCATCGAGGAAACAAGGAAAACCCCAAGTTTATAATTATATTTATGCATCTCATCTATTATACTATCTTATTATAGTTTGAGATTACCTTATATTCTATTTTCTTGGTTGTAAAATAGGGTTTTCGAGTCGAGTGACACTTCCAAGTTCCAACTAGTTGATTTACATTGTGCATCTAGCTTTAGTTCAAAATCGATTAATTCTTCCCACCTGATCAGTCTCTCTTCATATGGAAAGAGGAAAAAATAATACTAAAGACCCTTCAATCGGAATGTAGAGGGAATTCCAAGTGTGAACAGATAATATATTGGCAACACTTCGTGATATTTCGTGTAACAATTAATGCAGAGAGACATACTTGAGTGCTTAAGACTGCTGAAGAATTTTATGATTTTTTCCGGGGATTTTTTTTTTTTTTTTAATTCACTTATAAGTTAGCAAGTTATAATCAACACATCTTTTCGTACTTAATTGAGGAGAGGTAGCTATGAAGGGAAAACTGCCACGTACCAACCAGAAGGGGACTTGGGGGTATAGGTCGACCAAAAATATTGAAATGGACACTGAAACTTGAAACTCGTGGTACTGTGTTATGAAATAGTGACCTAATGCATTATTGCAATTATAAGCTGAAAAGCAGAAGTTACTGATAACAAAAACGATTGTTCACCTATGATTTTTCTTAACACAATTTTTGATAAGTGGCTTATAATTCAGTTATAATTCTTTAGCCCCATTTTTCAGGAAAATTGGTTTTGTAATAGTGATTTTTGGAGAATGCGTGATTAAAAAATAGAAAGAATAAAAAAAAAAAAAAATTTGGATTGGAACAATGAATTTTGGAAAGAATGGAGCTAGACATAGGCCAAGAGACATTACATATATGACTTCATCAAGAAATGATCCTTGTGATCGAACAAGTCATAAAAATCGTCGCCTAGCCGTGACAGGTTCCTCTCAATTGCACGGATTGAAACTTAGTAATTGATGTGGCTAGCTGATGATTTTTACACATATGTTTTATTAGTAAACATATTTCTATTTATATGATACTTATTTACACATACATACAAACCTGATGGACATGTATTAAAGGTAACATTTTGATCTGTGCATTGAAGTATCTAAATTCATTATTTTCACTAATTAAACACAATAATTTTATCGCTAAACATTATTTGACATCAATCCTCTCACTTGCACGGAGTGAAACTTTAGGAATTTATGTGGCTAGATAAGAATGTTTTTCCATATTTTCGACTAGTATGTACACATATTTCTCAATATGTTACATGTTTACATGTATCATACAAACCTTATGAACACAAATTAAAAATAAAAATTTATTCTATAAGACTTACGAATAAAAGAGAGGAGAAGTAAAGTAAATTTGTGAAGAGGGCGTTGGACATAATTTTTGAAGAAGTAACAATTAATACACATGATGGATTAATTAGTTTCTTGGATCTTCAATAATTAATTAAAGGGTTTCTCATTTTGATGGCCCAAACTACAGATTTGCATGTGCTCATGTTCTCAGCCAGAGAGGTTTTGAATCAATTCCCAATTATTAGGGTTCAATCAAAGCATTTATCATAGCTCTAAGTTCCATGTTCTTCACATGACCTTTTCTTGTTTTTTTAAATTTAAATGGACCGACAGAGCAAAACCACAGCAAAATCCATTGCAAAGCATAGCCAGAAAATTTAAATTCTTGTGGGCACAAGAATAAGACATGCTATTAATTAAAGAAGAGAAAAATATTTCGTTTTCTTGCTTGTACCCCTTTTCATGGGTTATAGAAATTATAAACACGACAACAGAGGCTGATTATAAGCAAAAGAGGCCGAGTGCCCACTCAAACGAACTTAAATATCTATCATAAAGATTTCAAACTAACACTATTGAAATGACATGTGAGACATGCCGACATGATTCAAAATATATAGAGTAATATTTTTATGACTTTACATTGTTATTGCTGCTAGAAGTGGCAAGTTCTACAAGTTTTCTTTTCGTCTTCTTGTGAAGAGTCGCGAAGAGTAATACCGGGTTCTACAGCTTAGACAACAGTCACGAGATCCCCTATATGATAAGGAAATTATTGGTAACACGAACTTAGATACCATACGACAGCATTAAGGGGCCATTTGAGCTCCATTATTTATATATTATAATGAGATGAATAGTATTTTTTTGAAAAGTAAATGATTGAAAAATTTTTGATTTACGTGTAATATTATTTTATTGAAGATTGTGTGATTAAAAGTAGGAGAGAAAGAAATTTAATTTAATGTAATGAAAAATAATGGGACTCAAACGGGGGCTAAGAAATGAAAAATAAGCTAGTATCTTGTTTATTATATATAGCCAAAGGTTTGTGTCTACCAAACAAACCTCATGGTATTGTAAAAACCCCTTAAAAAGACAAACTCTTGCAACTAAAAGGAGGAGATGAGCAGCGTCAAAAGGCCGATCAGTCCAAAAAATCATTGAGAAGACAGGGGAGATCCTAATATTGGAAAAGAGATATGGCATGGACAACTAGAGAACAGAACTTGGTATGTTTTCATGGAAAATAGTACAAACCAAGAAAATTAAGAGATAAGACTACAAACAAATTGGGCTTATGAGCAAAATTCATTTACATAAGAAATAAAGCAAGCAGCGCAAGAGCAAAAATAAATAGCACAAGTTTCTTCAGAGTTTCATCAGCATTTAAACCCTCATTTGCCTGCTGAGCTTGACCGGTTTCTCTATAAACGTGGCCACCATTATTACCATGAAAAGAATGAGCATTTCCAAAATGATACCCAGATGTAGCACCAAATCCACTTGCATTTGAAAATCCATGAAGCTGGACGTTAAAAATAGGGGAAAACACCCCACCAAAACCAGCAGACATTCCAAAATGACCGAATGTTGCAGATACCATTGGTACAAATCCATCCATCATTCCCAAAACTACGTTAGTAAAGTTATTTGCATCTGGAGGCGAAGCAGTAGCAGGTCTCTGCCCTGCTGGTCGATTAGGGATTTCGATGCCTGAAACATGTTTCGATCTTGAGTCACATGGCATCTTACCTCTGCCATATAAAGGTATCAACTTTTCCTCTCGTATTAGGGCCTTACAAACAGGGCATTCGTGAGAATATGAGTGAAGTTGTAGCCATCTGTAGAGGCAAGGCCAACAATAGAGGTGACCACAAAGGGTTATTATTGGGTCTTGTGCTAAATCAAAGCAAATATTGCATTCAAAATCACCAGCTTGGTCGCTGTCGCTTCTAGAGGAAGTCAAACTCTCTCGTGCCCTGGTAGTCGAATCTTGGGCATCAATTGACATCTTATCTAATATTCAAATATAAATGCTTCCCAAATGTGGATCACAGGAGTCTGTAATTTAGCCTTTCTTAGTCACGAAATTTTAGCAAATAAATCTCAGAAATATAATCATACAGATATAAGTAATTATCCGAATAAATTAAACTCCCCAGTGTGGCCAAAAAAAATGGTGAATGCAATGCACAATATACCAATTTCCTAAATTTCATCACCAGATACCATCTGTAGTCCTGAATGCAGTTTAAGAAAGGCAGCTTTTATATACTAAACTTGCCGAGATAGCTCATTGCCAGTTAGTGATATTACTTTCTCTAAAATCAATAACGAACCGAACCCAAAAAATTTCTATCTTGCATTTTCATCCTTCTCATCTAGATAACCAAAAAGAACAATATACAATTCAAAAACAAATCACATATCTAATCCTATAAACCCTAGATTGAATAAACCATTTGTCTCAAAATTAATAATCTCACAGCCCTTGTTTACTATGCATATAACGGCAGAACTTTGATTTAATTAAACAGGCATGTAAATCAAAGGCATTCCATCAATTCAGACACAGAGGAAAAAATTTTGTTTTTTACCATTCCCTGAAATTCAAAAATTTTGCCATCCGTTACCTCCAATATAAATCGACGGCATTAAAAAAAAGAATTGAAAATAAAAGGAGAGAGAGACGAAAAAATAAAAAATATAAATAAAATTACTTACATTTGTTATTTGATCTGCAAAACGAAAAACAGAGAGCAATTGATTGTCCCAAAACGCTGTAAAGTATAAATAAAAGAACGAGTTTTGAGTTTGGATTCTGTCGAAAATTCCAGAGCGTTCTGTTTGAATTAATTGTTCCAATGGTCACCGAACTTAGATCAATGTCTTTGATTGGTCACTAAAATTTAAAATATCAAGTTTTGATCACTGAATTTAGGTCCATGTTTTCGAATGCTCACCGAAATTTAAAATGTCGAATTTCGACTACTAAAATTTGAAAAATACCTTACATTACTTACTAGCATAAATATTGAATTTTGAAAAATATCGAGTTTATAGTGAGTAATGTATAATATTTCTCAAAATTTAGTAGTCAAAACTCGACATTTTAAATTTTAGTGAGCAATTGAAGACATGGACATAAGTTAAGTGATCAAAACTTGACATTTTAAATTTTAGTGATCAATCAAATATATGATCTAAATTCGTTGACCATTGGAACAATTAACTCGTCGGCTTTGTATTTATCAAACAAAAAGTTTTAAATTAAGGGAGAATTGCCTCAAATTCAAACCTTTCAAATTATTACAGACTATACTCAAACCTTTTTTTTTGATAGTGGAGGTCTCAAACCTTTAATGAAGATGGCAGCTGGAGGACATGAAGGCGAAATCCGTTCATTCCCCCGTCAATTGACTAAAAAATTAAAATTTTGTCTTATTCTAACCAATTGAGTGAAGAGTAAAATGGTCAAATTTTTATTTCATCAACCATTATAGCCTTCATTTAATTGGTCAAAATAAGTCAAAAATTTAATTTCTGTTGACCGATTATGGATTCCATCGTCATGTCCTCCAACTGCCATGGTTGTTAAAGGTGTGGGACCTCAATTGTATAAATGAAAATCTTGGATGTAGTCCACGATAATTTGAAAGGTTTGGAACCTAATTTACAATTAGAATCAGCTAGTTATCATTTTGGGCTTAAATTTTTCCATTTTCAGTGCAGGCCCCGGACTACCTCAATAATCTCATGGTAAAAATTACAAATTTTGCATGTTATACAATTGTGGTTGACAATCTCCTCATAGAAGGGGGTGCATGATTTTTTTATTTATTGTAGGTCACTTTCCATGTATATAGTTGTCAACCATGGTTGTACATATTAGGGCTGGGCAAATCTCCCGAACCGAGCCCGACGGTTCTTGTCAAATTAAATACTCGAACGGATATCTGAATTGAGAACCGACGAGTACTGTTCGGTTCTCGGTTCTAGACCAAGAACCGAAGAATCGAATCTTTCTAATTTTTTTTATATTAAGTAAATCAAATTATTTAATTTTAATTCTTTCTAAACAAATTAACAATTTCCAAATCCAAATTTTTGGCCCAATAATTTGTTTCATTTCTAATTTTTTAATTTTTAGCCAATTACCTATTTTATTGTTTCATTTCTTAGTTCAACAAGATCCAATCTACTAAATAACTCTAAACAACTACACTAAAGTGCATAATGTTCTCTCGACTCTCGCACTCACTCTCGCAGCCTCGCTAACCTTCCAAAACCTATACAGTTGTCGACCAACGCTGTGACCTCCGTCGACCGAAACTTTGACCATAGCAATCATTTGAACAAGGTACTAGTCTCTGACATTCCAAAATCATTAAATGTATTTCTAGTTGTATTTGTATAATGTTGTTATAAATGTTAAAAAATTTAATTATAGTACAGAACCGAACGGAACAGAACCGAACCGAACTGAACTGAACGGAACCGAACCCGAACGGTTCCATAATTATATTTGGACCCGATGGTTACATTTACTAGATACCCGAAAATTTTGGTTTGTTTCGGTTCTCTTTAAAACCGACCCGCGCCCACCCTTAGTACATGTAGCATGACCGAAAAATTACACCCACTACTCACGGTGATTACTATTCCCACTTATACTCTTTAATTTTTAAATTTCAACAATACATTTTGTTATAAATTTAATTTTTAATTAAATGAATTTTTAAAATCAAAATTCAAACAATGATATTAAAATATGTGCTTGAAGGTCCTTCCTTTTTAATCTCCAGCCAACCCATGGGACTCAGGACTCGATCCCTGCGGGATGGGAATTCAGGTCTCAATTAGGTTCATAGTGTTTAGCTTTTATTATTGTTTTGCTATGTTAAGCAATATTTGTTGGCTTCCTATAAAATTACTCGATTCAAAGTACCAAAGATATCGTGTGCAAAAATTGGAGAAAATTTAGCACTTACTGCAACCTTTGAAAATATTTATTAACACCTCCCATATACATTCTTATTTCTCGTAACAAACCACTTCACAATATTAGAAAAATTAACACAATAAATTCGGGTAACCTCCCCATCGCTTAGTTTTATTTTATTAAATTAGAAAATTAATTTAAATTCCATGGATAAAATTATGTTGGTAAAAAAAAATAATAAAATAAAATAAGTTCGTCAATTAATTTTTGAATGAATGATTCCATAGTTTTAATTAAAGGAAGAGTAACATAAAATAAATCCATCGGTAAATGATTTTATTGTATAATAAGCCATAAATGTGAAAGATTCTACTGATAGAGATTTTATGATCCAACTTTGATGTCCTCAATTGAGACTGTAATGGAATTTAAAAATCCTTCCAAATTTAGGCATCCTTAATTGAGATTTTAATGAAATACGTTAAAATTTAGGTGTTACGGTTACGCTTCGATCTGAGATCAATCTGATACGCCTCGAACACTCATGCTCCGATCTGAGACCGATCTGATACGCCTCGGATGCTCACCACCATACGTTTCGACCTGGTAAAGACCCGTCCGAAGTGTTTTCGAAGTGATGTCAGCAATACCTGCAACCTAGTAGTACCTGACCAAAAGTACCTCGCCCCCGAGGCCGAGGTCGAGGCCAAGTCGACCCCGATTAGAGAATCCACCGCCAATTTCAGAAAGAGATTTTGCCAAGATCTTTCCTGTACCTAAGGTTTAAATTGATTTGACGTCTCCATAAGACTAGATGATGTGACTTATCAACTTTATGTCAATTCAACTCAGAAGAGACAAGCTGTCCGCCCACTCTACAGACGTGGCTGATTGACGCCTATGAGCGAACGCCTCATATTGTCAGATGTATACACACGTCCCACATCCAACGGCTCTACCACCTATAAATATCCAAGATTTGGCAAAAGGCAAAGGTAATGAAACTCTTATTACATAGCACTCCATAGCAAGCTTATATATTTTCTCCTCCCCCATTATCATTGATTTGCACAGCCTCTGGGTACTGTTCCGACCACTTAAATCTGACTTGACCGTTGGAGTGTATACGGCCGCCACCATCGTCTCGGCCGTGTGCGTCTGACCATTCGCTGATTGTGCGTAGGGAGGAATACGTGGAGTAGCTCTCGGTTGGCCACGTGGAAGAACCAATTTTCGAGGTCAACAGATTGGCGCCGTCAGTGGGAAACACTTCCCATTCGAAGTTTTGCATTCTCCATCGGAGAAGTTATCGGAAAACTAGCGACTAACCCTGAAAATGGGACTTTTTTAAAAAGAACAAAGTCGAGTTACAATCCAATTTCTCACTACCCTTGTAAAAGAGCTAGGATGAGCTATAGCCATGAGGACGACAACCCCATGAGAGAGGCCTCTGAAGAAGAGGTACTCCATAACAATGTTACTCATCAGAGACCACATCACCGGTGTCGCCGAGGTGGAAGAACAACCATACTCACGGAAGGAATAGATGAGATAGCTGCAGGTATGAGAGACATCGCAGCTCAGAATATGGCAATGCATGAACTCCTCATGCAAGCCCAGGGACATCAGGGCTATCAAATGCCCCAAGGACGTAATCCGGTGCGGGAAGCCCCTGTATCTCACTCCCGAACCCACATGAGCCGGCACACGGAACGTCCCCTCGAAAGGGAGATGAACGCCGAAGCTACATCTTATGTGCAAGGAAGTCAGCCATCAGAACCACGCTTGGGGGACAATTTCCCTCAAGAACATGAGGACCAAAGGTCGGTAAGCGTCTTCGACCGAATAGGGGAGAGTTCCTAGTAATAGGGTCCGTCCAGCAAGAGGATCAGTTCGTCCAGATCATGAACAAGAACATGCTCCCCCTCTTCCTCCTAGAAATAGGAGAGACAGGAGGAACCTAATCGATTGGGGAAGTCGAGGAGAAGCACCTCCACCTCCCCAGAACATCCAAGATGATGAAGAGTCATATGGGCCCTGTCGATCTTATGAGATTAACGATGATGATGATAACCTCCCTTTCTCAAGGGAGATCCGAAGCTTCCCAATGCCAGTAAATTTCATGCCCCTTAAGATCCCCAAGTATGAAGGAAAGGGGAATCCGGAGAAGCACCTCACCAAATACATGACACGGATGAGCCTTAGGGAAGCCTCGCTTGCTTTAAAACGCATAGCCTTCCATTTAACACTAGGCGGGGCCGCCGAGGTATGGTACAGCAGGCTTCCTCCCCTAAGCATCAGAAGCTGGCCAGATTTGAAGAAAGCATTTTTGAACCAGTACCTCTCACGCAGGGAAGGAGAGGCACCAGTGCAACGCCTACAAGATATGAGACAAGCCCCTAGGGAGACACTGAAAAGCTATCTCGCCAGGTTTACAAACGAAATCACCTACTGCGAACAGGTCACTGACAGAGAAGCCCTTTCAGCCCTGAAGGGTAGGCTCAATATGAACACTTTGTTCTAGATGGACGTGCGCAGCAAGAATCCCTCCACATATGACGAGCTGGTGGAAATGATGAGAGTGGAAATTGTTAGTGAAGAAATGATTGATCATCGCAATCATGCCGTTCAAGGACTCCCTCCTCCTCAGAGGCAGGTAGGTCGAGGACCCGCAGCACACCTTGTTGCTCAGCAATGGACCCAAGCAGGTCATACAATAGCTCCCAATCCGGACAGGCCCTAGCTTCCGCCACATTGAATGCAGTACCGATGCTGGCATATGATAATGCCCCTGCCGAAGTGGGACCATCTGGAAGAGCTGATAACAAGAAGAAGAGGTCAAACAGACCCTTGGAAGGAGCAAGATTT